CTGAAAAATTAAGAAAACAAGAAACTTGACTACAAAATGCTTCATATTGTCAAATATATATTATTTAGAAAATAAGAACGCAAGGATTTTCCATTGAAAGTTCTGAACACTTTGAGCTGTCGTTCATCTACTATCCTACTACAGAGAATTAAAAAACTCTTTTATGTGTAATATGTTTTTCTATACCTTTCAAAAACAGAATTTATTTTCTAAGTTATAAACAACTTGATCATATACTCTTTTTCGCTAACAGGAGCCGAATATTAGGGGAGTGTAATACAAAATTCCTCTCTCTGAGGTAGTGTGAAATGGATAAAAGAATTTTTGTGCGAGGAATAATGGATAAAATTATTCAGGGGGTGCGCACCCTCCCACACCCACCCGCGGCCCTGCTGTTTTACAAGTACATGAATGACTTCTTTCCAAGTGTGACAAGAATATTCAACAACGAATATATTTTCATCAACACTTTCTCACTAGACAAAACTTGTTTGATAATACTATCGTGAAAAGCAAAACATAAATTTTTTGACACTACAGTAATTTTTAAATGACTCTATCACGAATTGTGACAAAACTAGCACTCTCTGTGATAATGTCTAATATGTGAAACTGATCAACATTGCCATTTGCATTATATAACAAGAATCCTAGGCGAAGAGACAAATTCTACTTATATATTCCTTATATTGAACGTATACTTATAAAAAAAAGAATAGAAACAAATAATATTTTTGCACAACTTTAACAATGGGATTTCGTGTGAAGAAAAAATTGAAAACAATCAATGGTATTGATTTTTATTTTCTAGTAGATGGAGAGCAAGTTGTATTCATTTCTAGAATAAAAAACGAACAGAGCATAACTGCACTTGTCAGTTCATTACGTTTTTGTGCTTTTATTATTTATTTGTTAACTATAACAAATTGACAGTTTGATTTGTGCGTTTTAGTTTTGTATTTCCTTCTTCATTGTGTTGTGTGTATTAAGTACTATGTAATGGTTTTTCTACTCTAAAAGAATGAAAAACGAACACCAACACAAAACATAACAATAATTTACTGTGACAGTTTTAAATTGAATTTTATTTGATAACTGTTCAATTCTCAATAATGGCTAAACATAAGAGATAACTATTTCGATATAATAGTTTTTATTGAAACGACTTACTTCATGAAAATTCCACTTTTTGGATTCGGAAGTGCTTGCTTCAAACAATAGGGATTTCTTTGTAAAGCCCAAAAATAGCTTAAAACAAACTACCGTCGTAACTAAAAACTGTACGATAGCGCGCAAAAGCGCAAATTCACTTTGTTTATATCCCAGTTAGAGAAGTAGATAAAGTACTTATATATTTGCAAACAGTCGAGACTGAGTACTATTTGTAGCCAAAAGCATGTCCGGTTTCGACCCTCGTATACAGAACGCTAGTTGCTCTGCTGGAATCAAAGATGGGAGACGGTACAAAGTTTGTCACAAGATGTTTTTAGCTATGAAAAAGTTATACTAATGGATGACTGAATATATCTTTTAGGTTTTTTTACTGCCTTTAATCGCTTTCTAAGGTACAAGCCGTAGTCAATAACAGCTTGATTATATATATGTTAGAATACAAATGTGCGCATTTTTTCGACACAGACACACGCGCAAAGTTATGTGATCGTGAATGGGAGGGGTGAGGGTTAGCTGGGTGCGAGCGAGCCCGAAAAGTATTTCCATTCTAAAGAGTCATCAGTTGCGTAGAAAAGACTAAAGGGAATAAACGAGTAACAGATATAAAAGTACAAAAGCATAATAAGAATAACAAGCTAAAATAAGAGCTGTAGCCTTGTATGTAAGCTAAAAACATCTCGGGACAAACTTTATACCATCATCCAGCTCTCACTTGAATCTATAAGTTATATCTGACAAGAATAGTTCATTAGAGCTGTTGGCTACTCCAAAATTAAGATACAGTGGAAATCTTCGTCTCCGTACAATCACATGAATTATTAGTTTTACCAGCTTCTCACTCTGACTCTTTATGAGGAACTTAAAAAGCTAAAGCAGAGACATATGGAAGTCAGTAAAAGAAATAGAGAGCATTTTTTCGCTTTTTTCTGACAATTTGCTTGTCTTACGCGCTACAGTTAACGGTCTCAACTACTTCCTCTTCTTTAGCCAATTAAACACAGACTCTGGCTTCAACAAAACATTCATCAAGCGGTGTCAATCGATATTTTCAAAGCATCTACGAACATGTAACTATTAAGCGTCTTTCGTGTTGAGACATCTTCGATGCGACTTCAGTATCACTTCTATGTGCTATGTCTTATAGAATAATAATAATTAATATTCATACCCGTAGATACATTAAAGACATTATGTTGAAGACACAATCGATACACATGAAAGTCACTATTTCTCAGTAGACACATGACAACAGCTCAGTCCCATCTTTGTTTTAGATTGCTCTGGCTTGCAGGATAGAGTAGGGCAGAACTTTGTTTAAAAAAGTTTTAGATTGTCACGGTGAGAACATTTGATGTGATGATTGATTAATACAATAACGTAAAGAAATTATTGTTGGTAAAAAATTCTCAAACGTTTTGCAGGTTCAAGCAAGACTAGGGCTACACAATCACAGGGTAGGATTTAGAACTCAATAAACAACTACCTTGCACATAAACAGTCGGAAGCAAAATAAGCATCGTAAAATATATCCTTGTCATATATTAATAACAACTTGATACTTGGAAAGTGCAGAAGTACATGTCGATTGGAACATTGGTTGTTTCTGTTAGAAAAAGTATTGAAGAATATCAGTTTTGTTTTACTTGAGTAGTTTATCTCTAAAACTTTTCTAACATATTCATCAATGGACTTCTGTCTGAATAAAGATGAGTTAATTCAAAGTTTCAACGCTATCTATTTCAGACTTTTAGTTGATGAGCTGCGATAATAAAATTGATTATCTTATTATACGTATTCGAAAAGAAATCGTTCAAATTGTATTGTATAATTGACTTACCATTCTCCTTTTTTATGGTGTTTTCATTCAAACATGAAAGAGGATCATCTTGAAGCCTTACCTTTTTTAACAGTCTAGTGTAACTTATGAGTTTCACAAAGAATAGATGAAAGATGCTGTAATAATATTTCATATGCGAAAAACATTCAGAATAACGAGGATAAATGGTGAACCACACTTATATTTGTTCATATGTAGATCATTTCCACCAGACTGTTTTAACTGCCTTTTTCCAAAGCATGTTGAGTAGATGCTATCGGTGGATTATCAACAACCGTCACGCTATTCCAGATATCTGCAGAAAGAATCAATATCGTATATATGCTATGTTGACTCTGACATTCACCTCAGTCACATTTGTATCAACAAAAAACTTAGATTGTTTCGTAAAGAAAAATACATTTCAACATATGTTTTTATGTTGATTCAGTTGTTTCTTTGCATTTTGATTAGTGGCGGAGCCACCAACAGGGCTAGACTGGGCTGAGCCCCGCCTAGACAGTTTTCTAAAATTTTTCCTGAAATTCAGCTTAAATTTATTCGCACTATTTTCAAACCGAACTCCAGAAAAGTGATGAGCTGAGTCCTGCTTAGCACGAAATCCTGATTCCGCCGCTAATTTTGATATTAATAGAGCAACGTAAAGTTTTATAACAGGTGCAGGAATATCAACTGATACAACCTCTAATCTTGTTTCTGGCAATCATAGTCCCAATTTTCAAAGCCTATTTATTGCATAAATTTTGGAATGAGTTTAAAATAAAAGATGAAAATAAGTTTGTCACAAACAATCTAGATTTGACACTACAAAATCTGTTCAAGTTACCCCAAGCTCTGAATCTATGAACACCCGTATTGAAAAATTATTCCAATGTTTTTTAATTATATATGTAATATTTAATATAATTATAAGCAATTGTTCAGAAAAAAAAAGAGCAAACAGTTGTGCAATTATTTTTATTCATTTGTTTTCTTGACCATTTTCGGGTGTTCAAAAACAAAGAAAAAAAGAAAACGAAAAAGCCTCTTCCATTGAATACCATTAAGAAAGAAAACAAAAATAAAATAAACATTGCAGCCAGAAATAATAAATAAAATATAACACAACAAAAAATAAGATCTTGATATATGGCGGGGTGTCCCACAGCAAATCCTATTGAAACTTTCTGGAAAAGAAGAACCAAAAAACTGTTTTATAGAAAAATTAACAAAGATTTGGATTCGTCCAACAAGAAGTCGATGCTTAAGGTCAAGTTTTCGATGAGAATGTTAGACGAAAATTTATTTTTTATGACACTTTTCATTTTTTCTTTTCTAAGGTTTTTCTTAGATTTCAAAAATTTCTAGAAAATAAGAGGACAAATCAGAGTCAGATGCTGAGACTAAGCTGCTATGTCGAAATTATAATTTAAATGTTTATTGAGAAAAGCAAAGTGCATTGTCCACTGTATAACAACTATAAAGGTCAGTGGGATTTAGATTGGACTCTTTTACAGCTCAAAAATACCGAAATACATCAATAATTTATAATTATTGTACACTCACAGCGCTTCGACCTAGTTTGCTTGTAAGTGTTGTACTTGCTCATCTGAATATGAACTGCCTGCCGGTCTCGAGATACGATTACACTACCATCTAGTCACGTTTTATTTCCCAAAAAAATTTGTTTATTTCGATGATATTCAATAAAAAAACACCCTCAAAAAAAAATATCGTCCACTAATTTAATGTAAATAAAAAGGTAGGAGCCATAGTGACAAAAAAAGACACGAGTTCATTTTACGATTTTACACATTTGATCGTTGGGGTAGTATGTGGGAATATTATAGATAGTGTCATTTACTAATATTTGAGAACAAAAAAAAACGAAGAAAAAAGAAATAAACAAAAAAAAACCTAAGTAACAAAGTTCTGAGTGAAAGAGATCGTTCGTGTATATTTCTTACTAATTTTCAGAACATACAGACAAATTTTTATTATAAAACGGTTTCTATGCAGGTAACGATAATTTCTTTCCTTTTAAAACTAAAATAAAGAAAACAACGGTTAGTGTATGTTAAAAAAAAAATATATCACCTTATAGTGAAAGACAAGCCGGATTATCAATACGACTGACCAGAAAATAAAATAGATAAAAAAGATCATTCTACTTGTATCCACCGTTTTCTCAAGCTGCTGAATATCCTCACGAGTGTACATATGTTTTTCGCATAACATAGAGGCATAACAAGGAATAATAGAAATCTTAATTAATTAAATAAACAAATCGATATTTACCTTTCGTTATGTATAGATAGAAAAAATCACAATAAAGTATTGTTTGAACACATCCGGATAAAATACTAATCCAATCAATAAAACCTTCTGTATAATAACGATAAGCCCAATTTAATATGTATAGAAAACGATAAATACCCAATGCAAATAAATAATGACTTGTTATTGTTTCAGCTTCACCCGTTTTGCTAACCATAAATAATTGCGGTAAAACAGCAACAGATTCAAGATAGATTGAAAATGTCCATAAAATCTATCAAATGGAAAGAAATAGTAATATTTGATATTAGAACACAAATGCTCAATGTTGAAAGTGATGTAAAACTGTTTCGAAAATAACAGTGAAGAATTTTTAATATCCACGTCTCTTTATTACTATTCAACTTAAAGCAGATGCTGAAAATCTTACTCATCTATAAATAAACTTCCTGTACTCTGACGATCTTACTGTAGATGTGTTAGACAAGGTTTTGTGCCACCTACCAGAATGAGTAGAACGAAGCCTCGATCCACATATGCTATCCAGATGTAATTACGCTTTTATATCTTTTTATAAGCGGTTATACTCAGTAACGTTTAGTATAGAGTTCCAAATGGTACGCTGTCTGTGTAACTATACAAAAACAAAGAAACAAAGATAAACATACTTCCAAAAATGAAAACTCATGATTCCATATAAGTGATAAAACTGCTGCAGGTAGGATCAGAAATTCAATGCGAAATGTATCATGATTTCTATCATACGATAATTTGAATTTACGATATATCAAATATAACGTAAAATAAGTTGATACCAAATAGAATACTTTCATAACGGAATTATATAACGATACATAGTGTGTAAATAAATCCAAATAACGACATGTAAAGACAATGGCATAAAGAATAATACTTTTACCGGATACACCTATTTGAAGAGAACAAAATAAAGTACATTAATTCAAGCTAATGAAAAATAGAGAAAAGAGAACTTTACCAGCGCACGATCGAGTTTTCCATATTTTTGATAATAATATGAAAATAGCAGCAAGATGGGAAAAATCCCCAAGTAATCGAAAGATATTCATTGTGTAACGATGCAAAATGCTCTGTCTCTCTCACACACACTCCTAAATAATATATTTCTAAAAACGAAAATTGAACTCTTTGTAAGTAACTCTAGACTCTTGCACGCTTCTGTAATTCATCATGAAGTGTACGCATTTATAAAAGTTCAAATATTCGAAGAAAAGACTACACATTTAACAATAATGACCTACGGAACAGTAATTTATTCTAAAAAAATAGAATTCAGCTCAGAAAATTGATTGAAACAAATCAGACGCAAATGATAAGCGCATTTTTTTTCATTTTGGTTGCTTGTACAGTTTTACACTTAAATTTTGTGTCTACTCTTTCTTAATCAAAAAATATGGCTCTACAAACCAGTTTCCACATTTACATTTTAGTGCAGCAGATGGGTAAAACCAAATCTGGACCATCCACGATTGGTTCTTACGTGGCCAGCACAACCAATAAAACCAGTCCGAAAGAGTTTTAACATCATAGTCTGCTTCAGCCGTCTCCAAATTGCAAAAGATCACCAACAATAATAGATTGTTATCAGCAAAGAGTCTTGGATAGAAAAACTAAATTCTAATCGCAAATTTTAACAAAAGATGTCGCCCCGAGCTATACTGTACATACGTCTTCTTTCTCCTGTTGTAGCGCTATTATCAAAATAAACTTTTTCATGCAACTGAATTTTGCCAGTCCTCACACTACATATTCTCTTTCAATCAAATAAAGCTGCAGCTTTGATATTTCTTTTTCGTTCTTTGATGTCACACTCAAAGTAAATTATCCAACTGGATGCTGTAATATTGCCGCCGCTGTCAGTAGCAACGATGATTGGTTTTTAGGAGAAAAAAGAAGCGTGAATCAATCCATCCCTGTAAATTTCAATTCCACCGAAGTGGATGATCATGTGGTTCACTTTTAGGACTGATATGACAGAAAAGTGAATCACATGATCATCCACTTCGGTGAAATTGAAATTTACAGGGATGGATTGATTCACGCTACTTTTTTCTCCTAAAAATCAATCATCGTTGCTACCGACAGCAGCAGCAATATTACAGTATTCAGTTGGATATTTTACTTTGAGTGTGACATCAAAGAACGAAATGCCAACTGCGCACTGCGAAGGTTCGAAACCGATGGAGTGAAACATTTCTGAAGCTGATTAGCTTCTAGCTTTGACATAAGCTACGTAGATAATTAATTTAAACCGAAAATCTCTTAGTGGAAGAACCTAGTGTTTTTTCGTTTAGCAACAAAAATATGTTTCGAATTTTATTCACCTACACTTATCTTCTACATATATCTATCTAGCATATTATTCACATTATCGGATCAGCTGATTCATTATCCTATCATACATTCTGCTATATCTAGCACTATAGTATATGTTCACTATGAAGTGAATCACGTGACGATTAATTATCTCATAGGAAAACGATAGTTTTCTAAAAAATATACTCATTTTCTAGGACTGATTATAGGATAACTAAAGCACATATTGCAAAAGTAGCTTCGGATGTGTTATCTACGGCTCTTCTACTTTCAAATGATCTTTCCACCAAATCGGTACGATCAGAGATGATGATCGAGAACGAGTGACTGACTTAAACGAGATAAAAGAGTCTAGGAAGAACTAGAGACGAACTGCCCTTCGGGAAGATTCGAAGTCGACTTAGTGGAACAGTAAACAGACGAAATTAGAAGATCCAGAAATTCATAACAGTTTGACGATTTTTCAAGAAGAATGTCCATTGTTATATCAGCTGATTCATTATCGCGTCATATATTCTACTATAGTTTTCATCATATCAAGCACTGTAGTATATATTCACCATGAGCGATATCACGTGACAGTTAATTATCTCATAGGAAAAACAATAGAGTTCTAAAAAAAAAGGCGCTCGTTTTGTTGGACTAATTGTACAATAATTAAAGCAAATATCCGAAAACTAACTTTAGATGTGTTAATCTACGACCGCTGAACTTTCAGATGATCTTTCCCCAAATGTGTATGATCAGAGATAACCGGTAGCGTGTGGTTGACTCGAACTAGAAAACACAATGTGGAAAGAAAGAATTAAAGAAGAATTTTGCTAGGCAACCCTCTGGGTGAAAAGCAATAAGTCTCCTTAAGTTTCACTCAGTTGACTTAAAGAACTAGATGCCAACTACCCTTCGGGAAGATTGGAAATCCGACCGAGTGAAACGTTTCTTAGAAACACTTTAGACACTGTTTGAATCCTTTGCATACGGTAAGGACACTGTAGTGCTCTAGTAGTAAACATATTGATGCATTCTATTGGTAGTAATGTTTCAGACTATAAATGCAGCAAACTATACAGAAGTATAGACTGATAAATAGCATGTGATTCCTTAAGTCACTGCACACTGTTCATAATGTATATGAAGTGTCACGCAAAAATTAATTATCTCATAGAAAAGTTATTGAAAATATGTTCAACTTTTGGAACTCATTACTTAATAATTAAAGCATATGTCGAAAAAATACCTTCAGTTGTGCCATCTACAGCTCTTGCACTCGCGAATGATGATTTTTTTCAAATCGAGTGAGAACAAGTGACTTGACTAACAGGAAAAAGTGGATCTAGAAGAAAGAAGAATTTTTTGTGGTGAAAATCAGTAAATCTTCTGAGTTTCAGTGAGTCGACTTGAATACATGGGTAAAAGTGAAAAGCAAGTAGCCAACTTTCAGTCGCTTAACTCAGTCGGCTTAAATATCAAAGCTACAGCTTAGATTGAAAGAGAACATGTACTGTGAGGACTGGCAAAATTCAGTTGCATGAAAAAGTGTGCACATCAATCTCAAATGTGTCGGACTAAGATTCATTGGATAGAAAACTCGGATATGGTCAGAAATTAAAAGTCTCACTTAAAACAGTCAGATCTCTCAGACAAACACGAGAAATAGATGATGGCTCTATTGAATACCTTCAAATAGTTACATACGGTAGTACCATTAGTGTTTTTCTCATTAAGAATTAATTGTCCGAAAAATTTGATCACTTCAAACAGAATATTTCATTATTTCGGTTTATAATTGAAATCTCCATCCAATGAATTTTCCTACACGTTAAAAAGTGGTCCTGCTTATTTGTCTTCGATTGTATGGGTCGTCAATTGTCAGATCACACCAATGTCCTTTTACTGTAAATTTCGAGTTCACCGAACGAAAGTTCTAGCTTCACTTTTCTGGCTTGGTAGTTGGAGAATTGGATGATTTTTGTTTGTTCAGATATAGTCATCAACTTTTCTGGATGTGCAATACAGAAAAGTGGATTAGATGACATGATCACTGATTTTTCCTATGTCAAGTTTTACAGTGTATAGTATATGGGCAACTGTACGATGATTTACCCAATCATTTACAGATTTTCTTCAGAAATACGATTTTTATTCTAGAACTAATTCATTCGATGAAAGTTACAAGTTTAAACAAAAATCAAACAGAATTTCATTTCTTGTTTTCCGTTTTTCATGTTTTTTCTAACAGTGGTAACAATATCTACTATTCTATATGAGTGAAAAGTCGGTTTTTATTCTCGAGATTAGGAACCGCTATCTTTGTAACTGTAACAGATCATAAAAAATGGAGAACAAGAAATGAAATCCCATTTGATCTTTGTTTAAACTTGTAACTTTCATCCAGTGAATTGGTTTTTGAACAAAAAAATCTGTAAATCATTGGACTTTTCGCTAATGATTCTTTTTGGCTGTCTGCGTGCAACTATTCAAGCATAAGGGACGAAAATTATCATTACAATCACACTACGTGCTTAATCACGATTAAGTAAACAGTGTGACCGCGCTAACCATGGTTAAAGGCTAATTGTGATTGAGAGCAACAAATAAATATAGAAGTTGGATGAAAACTTTTCTCATTCTTCCATCGGTCGAATAAATGATGAATCTTCTTACTTCACTGAATGTTTCTAAACAAAGGATAATATTCACACCGAAAAGAACAAACATGTTTCAAGTTACGATATATTGTCGTTTTTTTCCATTGTTGAATTGTTTAACAAAAACCGAAAGAACTGTCTCGCAACGTCAAAGACAAGTCTTTCAAAAATTCATCTGTTCAATATATCTGTTCAAAATTTCTTTTTGTAGATAATCATGTATATTTTAACTTCTTAGCCATTGATTGAAGGTAATCAAATATATAACAGAGCTCAAAATGAACGATACACCTCAAACTCTCGATGACGTTGCTTCAACACCAAAATTAGTCTCTTTACAGTTTTTATCTTCATCATCAACTTCGTTAAGATCAAATCGTACAAATCTAAAACGTCGTCACAACTTATCGAAAAGTCAAGTGTTAAATAATGATGAAATTGATACAGAAAGTCAAGAAAACAAAAATATTCACAACACCAATAAGAAATCGTTTGTAACAAATCCAACAACGCCTATTTGTAAGAAAATAGCAGTATTTTCTTTATTTTAATTCATGGCTTAAACATTTTGTTCATAATATTTTTCAGTTTGCGATGTTTATAATCAATCATCTAGCCCAACGTCACCATCACCGATTTTGTCTAATCGTACCTGTAATCAAGTGTGGGAACGTCTTGGATCGTCTGAGGACATATCAATAAATCAACCTATATCGACAATTTTATCATCCAATTCGCATCTCGATGAAGTTGAAATAACGGATAATGACTATGTACCAATTAATCGAGCATCAAATCAGAATCGTTTTCAATTTGCGACATTTTCTTACAAGCAGTTGGTAAGCATGAAATACCTCGAACGATTATGGGATATCCTATCGTTTGTGTTCAAGAGATTTTACTGTGGTAGCACAAGAAAGTGCATCGTGTAAGTAGTGTTAAGGTCTCATATCTTGCTTTCTTTCACAAGCTTAATACAACTGCACCTTTTCCAGCTTGCTGCATTTAATACTTGCTATCTTTAGATTTGAAGTACCTCATTGATAATTATTAAAAGGAAGTTTGTTCTTTTTAGGACGAAAAAACTTTCTCAAATTCCAATTCAGTTTCATTACTACAGCAAGCATTCACAACAAACAAACTTAGTCATTCTCCAGATAAACCGTTTGAAGAATTTGCTAGTGAAAATTTTGATTCAGTATTCCATACACAAAATTCTAATATAATACCGCATTCTAGTTCAACTAGAAATCAAGAAACATTTAATTTAGACAATGAATCAACATTTACCAAGGTTGAGCAAGAGATGCTATTAACAAACCGTGAGGAAGAAATTATATCAAAACAACAACAAAATAAAGACAGAGACAAACAGTTGCTACCTGACGACAACGTCGATGGTGTTAAATCAACGACTGTTGATAAGAAAGCATCGAAATCAGAACTCGTTCAGAATAAAACTGCTCGACGTTCTACAAGAAATAAGTCTAAGCAACCAATCGTTTCTCCTCCTGAGAACGATGAGATTCTAAAAAATGAATCAAACGTCAATAATGAGAAAAGTGAATCAGAAGAAACATTGAAAGTATGTTCCATAACAACTATTCCACGTTGCCCGTAATTTCAGTCGACTTTTCTTGCTATTTAAACGATCGAGACTTTTTAGTGTAGAAACCTTTACAAATGCCTATAACTAGTAGAAAACGAATTTTTATTATTTACCTTAGACCAAACCAAGAAAAAAACGCAAACGGTCGCCATTGAATGAAACAACAGCATCTCATACAGAGCAAGCAGTTGGTAATAATAAAAAAAAGCGAACAAAAACCGTCGATCAAAATTCAAATTTTCAAAGATTAAATATGAAGAAAAAGCGCTTTTCTCGTGCGAAACAACATCAATTTTCCAAATTTAAGCGAAATGCATTTCGTCGTCGTATGCGTAACGTTTGTTTCGTTTGTAAACAAGATGGACATTGGGCAAATGATTGTCCGCATCAAGCAGCAAGAACTAATATGATGAATAATGAAAATCCATCGACAAATAATACCGGACAAAAAGCGATTATTGATGAACTGGATGATCCATGTATAATTGATGCTGGTCATCGACCAAAATTTGTTTCATCCTACTGGTCTATAGATGAAAAAGCTGATCAAAGATTGCTAGATGAAACATTAAAATTATTTGGTCATGACAATTTTCGTCCACAACAGTTAGAGGCTATTGTGAATATTTTACGTGGACAATCTACAATAGTCGTTTTGCCAACAGGTTTCGGAAAAACATTGATTTATCAGTTACCAGCGTATCTCTACGCAAAACGTTCAAATTCAATCACACTTGTCATCTCACCACTTGTCTCATTGATGGAAGATCAATTAATCAACACAGCAAATTGTTTGTCTGCAGCCAGTATTCATTCACTAATGCAACCAAATGAAATTGATCGTGTTCTTGATCGTATTGTACATGGTACTGTTCATTTACTTTTAATTTCTCCTGAAATGATAACACGGAGCAATCGTTTATTAAATGCTGGTATACCACCAATAGCATTTTGTTGTATTGATGAAGTCCATTGCATATCACATTGGTCACACAACTTCCGTCCATCTTATTTACAGGTAAGTAATGGCTCGTTCTCAACGTCGACTTAAGGCCAGAGAAGCTGAAGAAATGTAGAAGCTTTTTTCTGTTTAAGGTTTGTCGTGTTCTTCGCGAACGTTATTCTGTTCAATGCTTTCTTGGTCTTACAGCAACAGCTACAACAACTACATTAACTGATATCGCTAGATACCTTAATATTGAACAGTCATGTGAAACAAGTATTATTCGTGGTAATGTTGTTCGTGATAACTTGATGCTGACAGTATCACGTGACACTAATAAAGATGGTGC